TGTACGCTGCGATGCTCTGGCCAGGTGCTCTCCTGTATGCCAGGTACTCTTCCTGCTTCTGTTCGAAGCGCTCCTCAGCCCTTGCGCCAAAGGACTCCTCCAGGAGTCTCATGACTCTGCCCAAGCCTCCGGGCTCTTGCATCTCGCTAACTTCAAGCAAGATTTGGCGCGGCTCTCCCTGGCAGCTGAGATAGATGAGCATGGCCAATTCGGCATCCTCCAGCTTGTAGAGGTTCCTCTGGCCTCAATGATGCGCTTCCAGTCGCGGTAGTGCGATCGGCTCCCCCTGAAGGTCTCGATGCGCACCTGCAACAAGGAAGGCTTCGACCTGTCGCCCGGCTTGCGATCCTTCTGCGTCAGCATCTGTCGGATCTCTGACGTCCGGGCCGCGGAACTGGTCTCTGACCCTTCTGAGGCATCTCTTCCTCGCCGGCGCTGCCGTGCCTTGGGCTTCGGTTCAGGCCTTGGGGCCGGCTGTGGTGGATCGGCTCGATCCGGCTGTCTGGGTCGCTGCTTGGCCTTTGCTTTGGCCTTCGGGGCAGCTCCTAAGGCTGATGCATTCCCTTCACTTGGCTCCACGATGGGGTCATCTGTGGGCCTTGACTCCTCTGGGCCCACTTCAGCCTCTTCTTCTTCCTCCTCTTCACCATAGGAGGAGTCATAGTCTCCAGACTCATTGCTGTCATCCGGTGGCGGGTTCACACGCTGCTTCTTCTTCAGCTGCGCCTTGGGAACTGGGGTGGATGAAGTGCCACCCGAACCTCCACCACCTGGATTGGCCTTGGCCTTTGGTGCCACCGCTGCCTTTGGCGGTGGTCCCTGCGGCTCAGCCGGCTTGGCAGTGCGAGAGACACAGGGAGTGGCTGGCCCCAGCGTCCACGCCTGACCACTCCAGTACTTCCAGCTGCCATCGGGTTGTCCATACCATCCCTCCAGGGTAGGATGCATAGGCTGTTGCATCTGCTGGAATTGCATCTGTTGCTGCCATTGCTGTGCCTGCAACTGCTGCTGTTGTACCATGAATTGCTGCTGCTGGGCGTTGAGGGCGCTCTGCGCGGCCTGGTTGATCATGTCCTGCATGTCCGGCTCCTTGTGCTTGCCCTTGCCCTTCTCATAGCGCTCTTCATACTCGTAGGGCCAGGTGTTCTTCCCCTTCTTGCCTTTTTGCTGTCGATCCTCACCTTTTCGTGAGGCGGACCGTCCCTTGGACTTGCCCTTGCGAGAGTCACCCTTGTGACTGGTGCCTTTGCGGCTGTCGCTACGCTTCTCTCGCTTGCCCTTGTTCTTCCCTTTTGGAGGCGCTGCCTCGTTGGAGCCCTTATGGACGCGGTCCTGGCTCCGGCCTCTGCTAGAGGCCCGATGGTCGCGGCCATCCGGACGAGCATCGTCCTCTTCGGAGGTGTTCCAGTCTGGAACCTCCTGGCCATCTCCCATGGCCGAGCGGTCGCCCAGAGCGAGCCGCTCCGCTACCAATGCGGAGTCGCAAGTGGTAGCGCGCGCAAGCGAGCGCGCGACGAAAACGAAAGCGCCGCAAGGCGCACCCTTTTTGCGCTACAAGCAAAGGTTGCTTGGGCCAAGCTGCACAGGTCAAATGTTCATCCTACCGTATGCCACCATAGCACGTCAAACACACTATCATCCCCCTTGCACAGGTCCTTATGAAATGGGGAATCCTGGTGACCTATAAAATGACTTTTCCAGGACTCACTTCATAAAAAGCACAATGTTTCCGGAAATCGGAATTTTGAAAAAAAACCTATGCATCTTGTCTCGTCATTTCATAAAAAGGTCGGGTTGGCTCCTGTGTACATTTTATAAACAGTGACTTTTTAAACATAGAGACAGCTGGATGTTGGTTGCTCATTTTATAAACAAGTAATGGTGTGAGAGAATAGAACCATTTTATGAAGCATATGTGAATTGCTGCTGCGTGGCTCAGTTGTGACATGTTTGCCAATGGATTTAATAGTCCTTGGCAGGGGAAAGCTATTTTATGATTTGATGTTCATTGAACATTTTGACATGATTTTGTGTGCTGATCAAAACCTGAGCATTCACCATGTGCCACATTCAAGTTGTGCTTTGTCTTTGGCAGGGGAAATGATGGGAAATGGATGGAAATGTTTTGATTCGGTTGCTATCACTTGTCTTAAATTGCACAGTTGCTCCCTTGTTTTGATATCAAAGTTGACTTTCATTCTTTTGAGATGTCTTGAGTGAATTCTTCTTCTTCAAAAAGAGTTAACAGAAACTAGTCCTGCATGGGATTTGCCTACATGGAACCTATAGCCACTATAGTGCTATACCATAAATGGCTCATTGTAGTGTGATAGTCCCATGCAGGCTCCCATGGCTTTAGGCTTATAGTGGACACAACCACAGCAAGATGTTGGTTGAGCATTCCATAAACATGGACCATTTTCGGATCAAAATGATCACCGGCTCATGGAAAGCCATTCCATAAAGAGAAAAAAGGCGTCTGCGGATTTTCATTTTTTTTGCTCTTGTATGTTGTCTCGCCATTATATAAAAAGGTCGGGTTCTCATTTTATAAAGCAGCAGCCTGAGGGATTCCATTTTATAAATGATTTTTCTTTATAAAATCAAATCCCTCACCCCAGAGACCTCCACAAGGGGGATCATCTATCTATCTATCGATCGATCGATCGATCCATCCATCCCTCCATCCCTCCATCCCTCCCTCCCTCCGATCGATCGATCGATCTCTATACATGGACCCCCGATGACCTAACTACAGCTGGCCTGCCCATACAAAAACTTTGAACCTATCAGCAGTATCGACGCATTCGCTTGACCACATGACACCAAAAAGACTTCGAGAGACGCTTTTCGCTTGGACTGTTGCAGGAAGAGGAGTTGAGCAATGGGATTCCTAGCTATGACCCTCGGCTGAGGAAGGGCGAACTTCCAGGTTTGGGTCCTGTGGTCATTTTGGGTCCTTCTTGTGCTACTCGCCTCTAGTAGCTTCTTGTTACTAGTAGTAAGAATGCTCCTAGTAGCGATGCCAGGACCCCCTAGTAGCGTCCTTGCTCCTAGTAAAGGTTTGTGTGTCCTATGGTGAGAAAGAGGTCTAGCGCGTGGTCCAATGTTGTGGTTGAATCGTGTGTGTTTGCACGACCCGTCGGCGATCTAGTCTCAGCCAAGGAGAGCCTGCTGAAGCAGAACAGAGCGTTGCGTTCCGAATTGGCTGATTTGCATGCATTCTTCAACATCAGTGCCAGGGGCCCCAGTACGGCAGAGCTTGTCAAGCATTTTTCTCCTCTCTCTTTTATCTCTTCTCTCTCTTTCTCTCTCTCTCTTCTCTCTTCTCTCTTCTCTCTTCTCTCTACTCTCTACTCTCTCTTCTCTCTCGTCTCTCCTCTCTCTCTCTCTCTCTTTCTTTGTTCGTTTGTATGTCAGTGGAGAGGGTGGCTCACTGAAAGTGATCCTGTGTTTCCGAGGTCGACCCGCCAAAAGGTCCTGACGAGGCTTTGCCTTTGCAGGATGCTGACAGAGGGATGGTGTCTGGCAAGGAGCCTATCGAAGAACACTTGTTAGACAATACTGCTACCGCCATGCAAGAAACAGAGTGGCAACAAGAAGAGGCTGCTGGAAACCAGCAGGGATCAGACATGCAAAACACAAAGCCCCGGCAAGAGACACTGAAAAGCCAA